GCTCCAAAATCCTATTCCTGGGCCTGTACTGTGGTTCGGGGCCTGCTGGGGGCCTGCCAGCGGGTCCAGTGGCATTTCTGGCCATTGTGAACCCTCACTGAGTAGCGACTGGGAAGCAGCCGCAGGACGGCTGTGGGGGATTAGTGACTTGTGCCCACATCTTCCCCAGAGGCCGAAATCAGGTTGGGAGGTATGTTAGTCTGTTTGTGTTGCTTATAACAAAATACCTGAAACTGGGTACTATATGAAGAAATGAAATTTATTGCTTACAGTTTCAGAGACCGGGAAGTCTAAAGTCCAGGGAACGTCTCTGGTGAGGGCGTTATTCTTGTTGGTGGTGACTGCAGCAGTGCTGGGTGTCACATGGTGAGAATGGCAGGAGCAGAAAGAGAGACTAATGTCCTCACGTGCTCTCCTTTTAAAGCCATCACAGCCACTCCCATGACCACCATTAAACCATCAATGGATTAATCCATTCACTAGGGTGTCACGATCTAATCACCTCTTCAAGGCCCCACCTCTCAATTATTATAATAAGATTTCCTGTCCTCTTAACAGTCACAGTGGGGGTTAAGTTTCTACTACATAAAACTTTGTAGAACACAGTTCAACCCATATCAGGAGAGAAATGCAGTAAGCCAAGGTCAGTAAAGCATTTGGGCATCGCATCCTGCAAAACAGCTCTTCTTTCTGAACAGATGAGCAGAGACCAATGCTTCGGTGAAGTATACTGGCGTGGGTATTCGGGGAACCTGGAACTGGGACCCAGATCCAGGACCCACTCGCTGTGTGAGCTGGGACCAACCACTCTGTCCTCACCCATAGAACAAGTGATACAGGGCTTGGGGGTCCTCGTGCACCTTTTCCTCTGCTGTAGAGCAGGGACAGTGAGGATCCTGACCTTGGTGTGTGTGTGGGGGGGAGGGGACTAAAGGAGTGGCCCACGTAGCCTGCTGAGGGCCTCTTGGCTGGTCGTGGGCCCCAGTAGTGTTAGTTGTGTTTTCTGTAAGGTCCCCGTGTGTATTTATTTTAGTTTATATTTTTACTTTCAGGAGTGTGAGTATAAAAAGGACTTATTTTTTATCCATGGAATTGTTTGTTGAATATTCCAGAATGTACTTAAAGTAAATAGATTTAAAATAAAATTTCTAATAATGTAACAAGAACACAACGAAACTCATTTAAAGCATATAGAAGAAAACACAACCCAATGGAAGTTCTTATCATTTCTGAGATGGAAGAATTCAATATAATGGAAATGTGAAGTCAATCTATTTATTTAATTTCAGTGCCAAACAAAGTGAAAGGAAAGGAAGGACAGGTGTTAATTCTTTTTAAATTAAAGACTTCAGGCTTTAAAAAATAATTTTTTTTGTCACGTTTTTCACCTGGGAGAATAAATATATGAAAACAACCAAGAAAATTGTGTCAGGTGTTAATTCTTTTTAAATTAAAGACTTCAGGCTTTAAAAAATAATTTTTTTGTCACGTTTTTCACCTGGGAGAATAAATATATGAAAACAACCAAGAAAATTGTGTGGCGGGTGAGTAAGGGGTGAGGCTGTAGGCCCCTGCAGACCGCTTTTCATGTTCTGTGTTGTGTGACTTATTAACTGTGCTTGTGAACCAACTTTGTAATCAGAGGGCATTTTTAAAATAGTATTTTCTCATTCAGTGTTTTCCAGGATGCCTGACGATTCAGATCCGCACCGTCTTATGTATTTTCATAGCAGTCTTAATCTACTCAGTAGCCCAAGGATGTGTGGTGAGCGTCTCCAATGCTTGGCCAGAGCTGGGGGTGGGCAAGGACCCCCTGTGGAGAGCCACCTGGAAGGCCAGAACCCAGGGGTGTGGAGACAGGGGGGTGGGCAGAGATGTCAGAAACAGGCCAGGGGTGATAGACAAGAGAGTGAACAAGAGACTTCACTCATCAGAGGAAAATGCAGCCTTTCGCTGGCGGGGGAACCCCAGGTCCTCTATAGTGTGCAGAGAGCAGAAGCTGGGGTGGAAACACAGGACGGGGCTGGGGCAGGAGTCACAGGATGGAGCTGGGCAGGGGTATCAGCTTGGGGAGCAGGCAGCAGATGTTGTTACCTCCTGGTCCTGCTCAGGGCCTCCTGCCTGCGCCTGCAGCCCGTGGGATCTTTGAAGGGCTGGGAGCAGGTGAGGGGGGGCAGGGGTGAGACAGGAGGCTGGGAGGGCTGTGAGCAGAGGGGCACCTGAGCATCCTGAGGGGCTGCTGGCCCTCGCTGGCCTTTCTTCAGCACCCGTGCCCCTTACTTTCCAGGTGGGCTGCCTGCCCTGGGCCTGGAGCTCCAAGTACAACAGCTCCCTGGTGGTCCTCTCGGCTGGTGGCCGGCGCACGGTGCTGCCTGCCCTGCCCTGCGAGTCTGCACACCATGCCCTGCTCTGCTGCCTGGTGGGCACCCTCCCGCTAGCCATATTCCTGCGGGTGTCCTCCTTGCCCAAAATGATCTTGCTCTGTGGGCTGACCACGTCCTACATCCTCGTTCTGGAGCTCAGCGGATACACCAAGGCTGGGTAAGTGCGACATCAAGATCCAGGTGGGGATGTTGTAAGTTCCAAGGACAGAGCCGTGTATGACAGTCTGCCGATGGGAATGCTAATGATATCAGGACTAGCTGTACACAAGACTTTTAGTTTGGCGGCTCCTCCATTCCTCCACTTCAGCCCAAATTCTAGCAAGGCCTTGGATTTCCCAAGGGAAGTGGCTCTAGGCCTGGTCGGTCCCAGCGGGCCCAGGTGTCCTCACCCTGGGGACTACTCTCTGGGCGGTTCTCAGGTTTGATGGCCAAGTCTTGCCCTGGGCATTTGGTGCTGACTCGGGTTTCTTCTCCTCTCCCTCAGGGGCGCCGCAGTCTCGGGGCACAGCTACGAGCCCATCATGGCCATCCTGCTGTTCTCGTGCGCACTGGCCCTGCATGCCAGGCAGGTGGACGTCCGCTTGCGGCTGGACTACCTCTGGGCTGCGCAGGCAAGATGAGCCCTTTCTGCTTCCTGGGGGTGGGGGGCGGGGGTCAGAGGGGGCCTGGCCCAGACTTGGGGCTCAGACACCAGATGGGCACAGCCAGAGTGCGGCCAGGAGGAACCGGTAACCAGGACCCCCGTGGAGGCAGGAGCACCGAGGGCGTCCATTGTCTTCTGGCAGCGGGACCGGGTGCCGACACGCCTGCTGAAGTGGGGGGTGTAGGCTTTTCCTCAATCCCGAGGCTGAGTGGGCAGTGGCTGTGCAGTCGAGTGACCAAGACCTTGGTCAACAGTAGCAGGGGTGACAAAGGTTGGGCGTGGTGTCAGGCAGTCTTTTTCCTGAATTCCAGCAGCTCCACGTAGGGTCTTTGTGACTTTGGCTGGTGACCGGCCAAGCTCTATATTCCTCTCCAGCAGCTGAATGGAGTGAGAACCTAATCCAGGTGTGCCAGACACAACTGAAATTCCCTTCCTGATGCGCTTGGGCCTGGCGCAGCTCCTCACGTGACAGCCCCACCACCTGGGATGGTCCCTGAGGCTGCTCCATGGAGGGCTGTTTTGGGATGATCTCTCTGTAAAGGAGAGGCAGGAGGGGTGAAGGGTATGTGTGAAGGCCCTCTGGAAGCAAATTGCCTCTCCGACAAAAAAAATGAGAACAGTTGTTTTCTCTACTTTTTATTAACCTCAAAAAGACAGAAGTGACTAAGTACGTTCCTGTTAGCACACAGGGCAGGATGCACATCTAAGGTAATGGAGAATTGTTATGTTGCATTGGGCAACCACGGAGTATGTATACACACACATGCACGCTATGGGTATATGTGTATATCTATATATGTACACACAGATACACACACGCATAGTATATATATATGTATATCTATCTATATACATACAAGCACACTGTGTGTATGTGTATATCTATATAAGTACACACAGATACACGCACAGTATGTGTTTCTGTATATCTATATATGTACACACAGATACAAGCACACTGTGTGTATGTGTATATCTGTTTACATGCACACACAGATATACACATGCACAGTATGTATATATGTATATCTATATACATATACATATACAAGCACACTATGTATATATGTATATCTATATGTACACACAGATACACACAGATGCACACTATGTGTATATATATATCTAGGTACACACACAGATACAGATGCACACTATGTGTATATATCTATATACGTGCACACAGACACACACACACACTGTGTATATGTATATCTGTGTACACACACAGATACACACATGCACACTATGTGTGTATATATATATATCTATTTATATACATGAACACACAGATGCCAGGTGAAAAAACCCGGCTTTATTGAGACATCCATCATATAACAGAATTCATTCACGATATAATTCAGTGGTTTTCATTATATTCAGAGTCCTGCAACCATCACCATAATCAATTTTTTAGAACATTTTGATCTCCCCCTTAAAGAAGCCCCATCCCCATCATCTCACACTCCCCATTTCTCCTTGACCCCCAGCCCTGGGCAGCCTGTTCACTTTCTGTCTCTGGATTTGCCCATTTCATTTATTCTATGACTTGTATATTAAGTCAGTGTCTGTTCTGAGTAAAAGACATTCCAATTCCAACGTGCTGCCAGGTAACTAACCTTGCAAGCGGGGGACCCCCTGACTGCCATGGGGCCTGTGGTCTGCAGCTGTCTTCATCACACACCTGGATTCCAGTTCCAGGCAGGTGGGGCCCACTGAGATCCCATGCCTCTTGGCTCCTCCCCATGGAGGAGTGTTGTTGACAAGTCACCGGTTATTGGCAGGGCCACCTGGGCTGAGCAGACCCCAATTCCTGTTATGGACTGGGAGGGGTTGGGGGTGGAGAATGCATGGGGGACACATCTGAACCTGACTTACCCCCTGGTGGGATTTGGGCTGCAGTGGGGAGGCAAGATGTCCAGACATGGGCATTGCCCAAGAGAGCCTGATTGCAGCCATAGGAGCGGGTCCATGGAAGCAATGCCAGGGGGTACTGGGAAGAACCGGTGTTTCTCTGGGCCCCATCAGATGCTTAAGATTTTACCGTGGAGTGATGAGGGGCTGGGGTTGAGGGAAAAGGGACAAGGAATGTGGCAGAAGGAGGGGACACTCAGCAGACACCATATGGGGAATCAGAGCCCAAACACAGGGGCCAGGGTTCCTGCCAGGGCCCCCCTTCTTTGTGAGCAGCAGAGACTGACATGGCCCCAAAACCATGATAGGATCTGAGCTACGTCCCTAAAGGTGGCCTAATGGTGGACTGTGAAATGGAGTCATGACGGCAGGTGAGCTGCAAGGGCATTGGGAGAGCATCTTGCATGGTCATGGGGCCATTGAGAGGGCACCTTGGCAGTGGTCCTGTGGGGCCTGGCCTCGGTTGGCCATTGGGGGAGGGGCAGAGGAATTCGTCTTTGGTGGGCACTGTGTGTGTATCGCTCAGTCTGGGCTGAGAGCACACTCCAATCCAGTGAGGTCAAGAGCCACACCATAAGGTAATGGAGAAGAGCTGCTTTAGGACGGGCTGTGCCCATGAACTTGGTCTTTGTCCAGCTCTGCCTGGCTATCCAGGTTAATCCAGCTGGTGGGTCCAGTGAGATATGATGACCAGGCTGTTAGCTGGCCATTCTGGTTTAAGATCTTTTAGTTGTCAATACAAACTAAATGCTTGAGAAGAATAGACTTAGGATGAGCTAGAAAGACTGAAACAATCCAGCTGACAAGAATTGGGGTTTCTTGGTTATTTACTGGGGTACCCATTTGGATTTGTAACTTTGAGCAAACTTGAGGCCTTGGTAGTGACTCTTCCAGTCCAGGGATGTCCCCAGGGAAGATATTTTTTCTTATCTGGGTTGGCATGGCCTTTTCTTGGCTTTGGTGTCCCTTTCAATGTTTTTAAATGGAATATTTGACCCTGCTGTGGGATTCTCCATCTGGTGACACCCCCCAGTAACACCTCATATGACTCAGCAGCAAGTTCAGAGCAGCGGCAAGTCCGGGCCCTCCTGTGTGTGTCTCCAGGGAGGGGCTACCTAAATGGAGCACGTTGATGTGTTTGTCCACTGAAACATAACAAGAAACACTGCTGCACTTTCCTGTAACCCCAGCAAAATGTGGAACTTTTTAGATTTTGTCTGTTACCCTCTGGACATTTGGGCAAGTTGTGCAAACATCAGAGTGTCTCAAACTCTTGCAAAATTGCCAGGCCAAAGACAAGGTGGGTTAATTATTTATGAAGACCAGATTGGTTGTACAAACCTACATAAACAGACATGCTTTTCCCTTCTGACAACATCCCCAACCTCTTCATCTTTAACTATTGGGATGTTTTTGTTCCAGTGTTTTCATTCTTTTTTGAACTCAGTAGATAACCACCGTGACAATTAAATTTCGATGTTTATGCTATTTACTATCAATGCAGTTAGGACAACTTATTTCTCTACCAACAAATGCTTAATGGGAGGGTAATTCCCATTTCGCAGTTGCCATCATTAACATGTACAGAGAAGGTCGCCTAGAGTCTGGCAATGGTGCAGACATGAAATACCTGGTAGTGGAAGCAGAGTTAGAGACCTGGTTGCATCCTTTCTTTGGTCATTTATCTTCTCAAGCATGCATTTCTCCACACGTGACAGTAACACTGTCCCATGGGGTCATCAGGGAGTTCACATCACACAAGCTGCGGTCATGCTTCTCGGATGCTGACATGCGTTAGTTGTCATTCTGTTCCCTGTTTCTGGCAGTAGATTTCCTTTCTGAGCTGCGGAGGATCACATCCTCACAAACAGCTTTCACTGGGGGACAAATGATTCCTGACAAATCACAGCTGTATTCTGCAGCACACTGTTGTAGAAGCCCCCCATAAACCAAACCTTGATGAGGAACTTCAGGACCCCATGTGCAGTAAGGTCCCCCACTCACTGGAAACAAGACCCTTTATTCATCCAGCAAGTGCACATGCAGCCTCTGGTGGGCTGCCCCTCTATACCTGTGCACATAGAGTTACCACCTGCCTCCATCTAACAGGCACGTATCGAACACCTGGGGTATACCAGGCTCTCTGCTGGAGACACTCATGTGACTGGGGTGTTGCCACCCCAATTAAAAGGATTCAGTATGGGCCGGCCCAGTGGCGCACTGCTACAGTGCGCCGCTTGGGAAGCGCGGCGGCGCTCCTGCCGAGGGTTCGGATCCCACGTACAGACCGGCCGCTCACTGGCTGAGCGAGGTGCGGGAGCAACACCGAGGGTTGCCTTTGTTTTTTTCTAATGTAGGTGCTTTCTATTATAAATTTTCTTCTAAGTACTACTTTAGCTGAATACCACAAATGTCGATGTTATATATAGTCTCTTTTTCATTTGGTTCAAAGTACTTTCTAATTTCTCTTTTGATTTCTTCTTTGAGACAAAAGTTATTAAGAAGTATGTTTTTAGTTGAAGATAACCCAGGGATCTTTCTGTTATTGACTCCTTACTTAATTATATTGTGGTCAAAGACATACTTTGTATGATTTGAGTCCTTTTAAATTCCTTGAGATTTGCTCTGTTGTCCATATTCCATGTCCCGTTTCTGTTGCTGTTGGATGATGCGTTTTATAAATGTCAATGAAGTCAAGTTGGTTGATAGAGTTCTTAATCCCTTATTGATTTTCTGTCTAGTTATGCTATCAATTTTTTTAGAGAGGTGTTGGAATCTCCAGCTATAATAGTGGGTAGAACTTCTTGCAGTTCTGTCAATTTTTGCTTTATATATTTTGATGGTTTGTTACTAGGAACATAAGTGTTTAGGATTATGTCCTCTTGATAAATTGACTCCTCTACTACCTGTTAGAATTATAGGAAGATCCTCTTTTTCTCAGGAAGTATACTTGGCTCTGCAGTCCACTTTGTCTGATATTAATATAAGTAATCCAATTGTCTTATTATATCTTTTTCATCATTTTACTTTTAACCTACTTGTGTCTTTTGATTCAAA